AAAACTATGTGTTAAATAATCCAGTTTTGTTTATAAGCATTCAACCTGGGGCACTTTGATATAGAAACAGAAGCTGGAATAATACATATATAAATCATTATTTGCGCCAGGCATGGTGGCACATGCCTGTAGTCCCAGCACTTGGGAGGCAGGCGGATCTCTGTGAGTTCAAGGCCAGCCTGGTTTACATAGTGAGTTCCAGGCCAGTTAGGGCAATAGGAGACCCTGTTTCAAAAAGACCAAAATAATAAATAAATAAATAAATAAATAAAGTTTCTTTTTTCACACAGTTATTTCTATTTGTGATTGGTTATTATTACTTGTTTCTTTAATATACTGGTGCATGCAGTTCTGTTACTAAGAACATTAAAGGACAGAGTTCTGGGAAGACAATAACAGAAAACAACCTAGAAACAGTCCCTCCATGGAAGGGACTCAAACATGAATGAATGACTATGACTCAAGATAATGGGCAAAGTTTATTATGCAAACTGCTAGGATCTGACTTCTCCCTGGGTACTTTACATTTCTCTGATCCTCAGAACAACTCCAGCAAGTTATCATTATTGTAAAGATGAGGTGACTGCAGCTCAGGGTCATAACACAGGGCCTCAGAAATAACCTCTCCAGCAAATGGGAAGGCCAGGAGTTCAACCTACACCCAATACTTTAACGAGAAGAACCCAATCACTGTGCAACTCTGTGTTATTGGCAATGAAAGAGGGAAAGGAGAGGAAAGAGAAAGAAGGAAGAAGGGAAGAAGCTGGAGGAGGGGGGAGAAGAGAACAAATGTGATCAGTTGAAAACATGACAACTTGAAGTCATAACAGTCATCAGAAGCTGCAGAGCACATTTGACCAGGAAAGCCCTTCTGCAGGTCAAGTAATATGTTCTGCATTGTGGAGGGACTAGAGGTACAAGCAGGAAGTATCTGCAGGAAGAAGTTTTATTTCAAAGTTAATATAAGGATTTGGATTAGTTCTACCACAAGGCATACAAGTTGGGGAAAAATGTTTAAAACCAGACAGTGGACGGTAAAAGCTAAGTGATGACTTAACCAACCATCTGGGATATTAGAGTTTTCGCTGCCTTGTTGGGGAGGGATGGCACACCTGAGCTGGTCAAACATTGTCCTGTGGCCCATTTTTCCCCTGGGACACAGAAGCCTTTCTTATGGAAAAGTGACTGGAACAAAAGGGAAAACTTAACTTTAGATGCAGCTATTTGTTATCAGGAAAAAGAATTCTAAGAATTGTAGCATCTAACAACTCCTAAGAAACTTTTACTAACATCCAAGTTCACTTGAGGCTTAGCAGGAAAGTCTGTGCTTCTAAAAGAACCAATGGCCATAAGGAAACAGGGAGTGAGAATCATAGAGGTGTGGGCAGCCAGCCCCACGTGGCCATGAAGGTCAGGTGGACCTCCTTTTTCTGGGACTGACTGAACAGACACATGGTCATAAGGCTCCAAAAACAAGCCTGGGACTAAACAGGGTTTTCATTTCCTTCATTTCGAAACATTTAAAACATAAGGTCAGTACAGCCCTGCATTTGCAAGAATAACTGGACACAATCAAGTTTGGTCTGGACAGTACTGTTGGACTTAGGTGTTCTATTCAAGCCGGGACTCAGTCCTCTCCATGATTCTGATTAGGCAAATCCAAGAGCATCACACATCCACTGGCCAAGAATGCCTCAAGTCTCAGGACCAGTGATGGAGAACTGTACCCACCATCCTTACAAGTGGAACCAGCCTTCAGCTAATCTGTGCTTAGTCAAATTATTTCTTCCAAAAGACTGCCTTTATTTGCATAGACTAGACCAGGTTGCTCCTGTCTGGTTTTGTTTTCTGTTTTGGTTTAATATAGTTTTTTTAAGTGTCGTCTACATTCACATACCCAAGCTCTCTCTTGAACACTGAAAGTAGCAATAGTGCCTTAACTTGGTGTTGTTTTAAAGTTCTGGGATATTTCGTTCCTTTCTTTTTTTTTTCAGAAAGACTCCAGTTACATCCTGTTAAGGAACATGAAGGGTTAGCTCAGCAATCCGGAGAGTCAAGCCTTACATCTTGAAACACTATGGATGTTAATGAAAATGAAGTGTGAGCTTCTATGAGTGGACAGAGGAGGGGCTTCTCATGCACAACACCCCGAGCAGTTATTTGGAATCAGAGAACAGAAAGGTTTGACACCCCCACCTCTATACCCTTACTGGCAAATGGTAACAAGCAGAGAGGTAAACTGAGTCAATCCCAGGGGATCCCTGATAGCACCAACCATATAAGGACCCTTGGCAGGGGCACTTAGTACCACTGATCATGAGGTTCACTCTGAAGAGAAATTCCCTTTTGTTAACAACCATGTGATGTCACAGTAAGTGCTAATAGTGCACAATGGCAGGCCTCTTTGTCCCAATTTCACGTTTTTATTTTTCTAACATAGAGGAGGTTCTATTCCATCCTAGGAAATAATCAAAGGGCATGTTCTTCTCAGCTGCCCACAGTTGGAGGCAAGGCTTTACACACACACACACACACACACACACACACACACACACGCATTCATCAACACAACTTTCTTCCTTTTAACTTCTTCCACTTATGAATCTGCTGTTCTTATCTTTGTCCTCAATTCCAGCATGATGCAGATTTTCCAAGATACGATTTCTCAAATTGATGGCAATTTTTTAATGGTTAAAAAATAAATCTAAATAGTAATGGGTCAGCCCCTAGTTATTTTCTTTTTAGAACTTAAGTAATTTAATGGTGGTGACTAAATATAAAAGAAGAAAAAAAAAACTTTTATGGCCAGGTGGCTCTAGGGGATATTTTGTTGAACACTGATTAAAAATAATTTCTTCTAAATGAGACCTGACCACAAAATGGAACCACTAATGGGCAGGGACATTGTCACCAACGCGGAAGCCACGGCTGATTGCCTCTCGTACCTCCCACCACACAAGCATTTTCTTCTCTTTTTCTTGTTCTTAATAGCAGAGTAAATAAGCAACGGGCAAGGCCTAAATGTTTTCGGCCAGAATCAGAGTCCAAAGTCCTCAGAGAAAACATTTGGCCTCTGTGGTTTTGTAATATGTTCCAGAACAACGAGTTCGGTGAGGAACATCGTGAAAAACTCCCATCCCTTGGAATGACGGTGGGGAGTGTTACAGTATCAGAAATTTCAATTGGTCCCTTTCCTGCAGGCCCATAATGAGGCTTGTAAAAAAAAGGTGGGGGGGAATAAAGAAAAAAATATTAGGGCTATGTGGAAGTTCTCATGGGAAAAATGAATAGCAAGAAATCCTAGCTTTAAAAGAAACAGCTAATCCACTAGTTTGATTGTTCTTCAAAACTTACGCTGAACCAATGAGCCTAATTAAAAACACTTGGCCTACTTCTATAAAGCATCATAGCTTTCTCTATGCTTCGTTTGTATACACCACAAAACTCCAGATAGACTATTATTTTTTTTTTCAAGCACTCACTAACAAAGTGCTGACTTTGTTGGGATGGCTGAGCTAATTTCTTGAACTCAGTGTGAAACCTTAGCTAAACAAAATTGTGGTAATTTTCCTTAATTTGTAAAAGTGATTGGAGTGCAAACAAAATTTTCCTCTTGGGTCAATCCTATAATTTTCAATTAACTAAAACTAATCGGCAGGCAGGCACCAAACCTGCATTTTGTTTAAAGGACTGGGAGGCAGTTCCAAGGGTCAAGATGTATTAATTGTTTTTATAATTTTGAGAGTGACAGAGACTGGATGACTAAGAAGTGTGCTTGATTTTGTTCTTAGTATTGAAATGTAAGGGAAAGATGCTTTGATGTAAAGTGTCACAGCAAAAAGGAAATCTGTCCATTGAATTATATGGTTTAATTAGGATGTGTGAACAGAGTTGGCCCTTCTGTGCTCTAGACCCATTTGTAGAACTTCCCCTCTATGTGTTCTGGCCTCATGGTTCTTTACTGAGTAGGGGAGAAGATCTGTGACTAGTTCATGGATGCTGACCAACCAGGAATTACAAGCAGAAGACCCTGCATTTCCCTCTACCCCACCACGTGAGGTCCTTTGACCAGCGGCCTAAGCCTCCACCTTTGAGCAGATAAGTGTCTCAGGGGCTACCCACCCTTCCATAGCAGAATATAAACTGTAAAAAGATCCCTGGGTGTTTGCTTTGCACATTACATGTGTTTCCACATCCTGCCTTTCCAGATCCTGCCTGATTTGCTACATCTAGCAGGAGGGATTTCATATGCACCCTGTAACCCTAGCGTCTTACCACAAGGCACGTCCATGTGCCAGTGCTGTTTGGGGAGGGGAAAAATGCAGTTTGCTGGAGAAGAAAGCACCAACCCAGAATTAAAAAGGAAAACTACCAAATGTGCTTAATGTGAACGCTATGGCAGGCTAGAAGAAAGGAGCGCTGTTCATTAAAGCACGGCACTGCTCCATAAGCAGACTCCAACAAACCAGCTTAGCTTACACAGACCTCAGAGCTGTCTAATATCTTCCTCCTTTCTCTTACGTCTCATGCCACGTCTTTAAGTATCCAAACAATTATTTCAACATCTAAAACTATTACACTTACATGAATTTTTAATAATAATAACCAACATGACTCCATTGCTCATATATCTGTTAAAATGGAGAAAGTAGTTCTTAACAAAAATTAGATTTTAAAAAAATCTTGTATGTACAAGATCAAGTAAAAGACTGCATGAGTAGGGTTGGAGAGATGGCTCAGCAGTTGAGAACACTGGCTGCTCTTACAGAGGACCCGGGTTCAAGTCCCAGCACCCACATGGCAGCTAACAATCTTCTGTAACTCCAATTCCGGGGGAATTCAATGCCCTTTTCTGACCTTTGTGGGCATCGCACGACATGGATGCACTTACATTCATGCAGACAATACACTCATATGCATAAAACTTTTAAAAATAACATTTTTTAAAAGACCCCATGAGGCCAAACCAGCTTCATTTAATCTACTGTGGCCAAGCTTACCTGTATAGATGAATCTTCCTGGTGTCCCTTTGCAAAATTGCTTGGATTTGTAGGACAATGTGACTTCTACAACACCTGGGATGTGCCGAGGAGGTGTCTGCACACGGATGGCATGAGGGGTAATCAACTGTAGGAGACATTTGGGGGGAAACGGTCATTGAAATATGTAAAGGATCCCTTTCACAGCTGCTCTATCAGCTCTCCATAAACAAAGCTTTAAAACACATAATTAACCTGTCAGTGTTTAAACACAATCTGGATGGAACCTGTAGAGAAGACACAACAATATTTACCAGGACCCAAAGTACAGCCACAACATCATTATCTGGGTTTTCCTATACGGCAGGCACTGGGCTTCCTGATTTGGAAAAGGAACCTGGCCTAATGGAATGATTTATCTCCTACAGGATATCCTTTGGAAAAATCTGTTTGCAACAGACACCCAAAATCACAAACAAGCTCTGCCATGCCTCTCCAGAAGTCGATGGGCCTGGTGTTTGAACTGAGCTCTTAAACACATGGAGAGCTCAGAGGTAGGAAAACAGTAGGTTCCAGCACCCTGATTAGCTGCAAAACACATGTACAAAACACCCTGAAGACCATTTGGCACATTAACTACCAGAGGCACAATCAAAGAGCTTTGGAGGGGAAAGCAAAGAATCTCCCTTCCTGGAACAGCTTATGGCTCAGGCTGAACTAAGGGCTCTTCCATAAAAGGGAAATGGCAGGCTGGGGAGAGGGGTTCAGGATGGTCATTTGTCCACTATGCAATACCATAAGCACAATGAGAAAGTTCATTTCTGAACTCTGTTGACACTCAAGCTATACTACAAAACTATTTTTATTACTTGTCACTGTTTATATAACTAAAGTGTTATTAATGATCTTCATCTGGGTCTTTGAAAAATCCAGGCCTGGTATTTGACTGGTTGACCTATACTGGTCCTGGATTCTAAGACCTGCATAAAACCTGCACAAGATTAAGCCAGTCAACAGTCTAGCATGGGGGACAGGGCACAAGCTCCCACCTCTAGCAAAGAAACTATTGACAGGTGACAGCTGTTAGAGGAGAGAGTCAGTGTTTTGTAGGGGTGTGACCCCTTGTAGGTTGACCAAGCTCCAATGGATGGCCCCATGTGCATATGGGCAGCTCAAATTGGACTTGGTGTTTTAAAAATAAATAAATAAAAGACAGAACGCGAAAAGAGGACATGAAGTTAGGAGAGGGATATGGGTGCACCTAGGAGACATTGGGGGTAAATATGATCAAAACGGATTGTGTACATGTATGAGAGTCTCAAGGAATAAAGTATTATATTAATAAAGAAAAATTGTCCTGTTCATATTGAAATTCTTCCAAAATGTCTTACATGCTTGCTAAAGTATTCAAAATATATGTAATTTAATTTAGCCTTGGTAATTCGAGAACCTGTACTGGAATAGCCTGCCTTACATCTTGCTGTAATACAGAAAAGCACTAGGTAACCACTGAAATATGGGGGGAGGGGTTGTTTGCAAATGCTTCCACATTGTTATGCTCTTGAAATTATTTCTATTTTATTTCATTTCTTTGTCTTTTCCCTCTCGGTGTACTCTGTGCCTTCTAATGTCTACGTATCATCAAATTTACTATTGGACAAAAAGCAGGAGAGAAAATGGGTCCATATCATTCTTTGCCAACTAATACTCAGATAATTTCTATATCCCTACCCACATGTTCTGGATTTCAGTCCATTTACCTGATCCTATAAGTCAGAGTCACCTGCATCTATGTAGGAATTTAGACAATTATGGCTTTCACACCATAACTTGTAGCAACTTATTTACTGTGTGCCATAAAGAGTTTCTTGCATATCTTCCTCCCATTATGCAGTCTTGGAGATCGGAGACAGATCTCTAATTCCTATTTGTACCCTTAAGAGTTCCTAAATGAATGCCTTGCATACATGATACTTTTGAAGTATTCCTGGAAAAAATACATGTGTAAATGTGCTCAAAATTTTGCTAGAGGTCTGGCCCCAGGAGGCATAATAATCCTTATCCAGAGGCCATTCTCCTTAATCCAGGAATACCTAACTCTTCCCCAGCTACATTTCTCTTAAATTAATCATCCAGATAACCCAGCACTCATGTCCCCACATGAACACAGATGGCTGTTTGTTACTTGAATCTTGTAAGAAAGAGCAGCACTTCTCAGTTTGCAACCCCATTGAGAGATGACGTCCTTTCTGTCGTTCCAGCCCCACTGGCCTGGAGCACCCTATGTAGACCAGGCTGGCCTTGATCTTACAGAGATCTACCTGATCCATCTGTTGCCTCCTGAGTACTGAGATTAGTCATGACCCACCACGTCTGGCAAAATTATTTTTACAAAAGAATTAAGAGGGTTGGAGAGATGACTCAGCAGTTAGAAGCACTTGCTGTTCTACAGGACCTGAGCTCGGTTCCCAGCACCCACTCTAGGCAGCTCACTACAGTCTGTAAAGCCAGTTCCAGGTGATTCCCTTCTGGACTCTGCAGACACCTTCAGGCACATGGCATACATTTATATAGTTATACAGATTTAAACCCACACATAAAAATAACTCTAAAAACAATAAAAAATTAATATAGTGATACTAAAAGATTTATAATAAATTGAAAGAGTATCTGAAAACTTCAAATGTGATTTGTCTTCTACCTCCTAATGAGTGTATATGTGTGTTAATTCCTCATATTTACACAGGAAATAATAACGTAAACAACTTGTACATATTCAGAAATTACTGTAAAAATTTATTAAAAACCAAAAGTGGAACAATGTCAGTTTGAAACACTATGTATGCCATGTGATCATACATGAATATTGTATGTAATTGCATAGAGGAAAGCTTAAGAGGGAAACAGCAACATGATAACAGAAGTCACCTCTGTGGTAAAGTTGTGGGTGACTGACTTTCCTCTGCGTATCCCTCTGAGGAAAATATAGGCATTGCATGAAAATAAAGCATCTATGATCTCCGCAGACCCTCCAGAGAGGCTGCGAGACCATCAGGCAGCAACAGGCCACCCATAAGAGGGTTTCTCCTCTCCAGATGCAGAGCATAGGACCAGAAAAGCCCCTTGGGGTGGCCAAGTCAGGCAGACTCACTGTGGCCTCTACAGTAAGTAGCCACTGTGAAAGAGACAATTGCATATGTGTAGGAGGTCAAATAGGTCCCTTCCATGACAGAGTACTGGAGCCAGGAGAGAGGGCCACGGTGCAGATTCCGCAGCTGTGCATGGGGATGCAGTAGTCTGAAGAGGGTACGTACAAAATCTAGGGGCCCAGAAGAGGGGCACAGGCCAGCCCAGCTCTCCAAATGATCTGTGTCTGGCTCTTGTACTATCAAAAGTATGGCCTTGGAACAGGAAGATGTGAGCCCTGAGCGCTTGAAGTCAGAGGAAAATACACTGTGAGATTCTGAGGAAAGGGCATGTCTTGGAAGAACTTTTCTTCTCTGAGGATCATAGCACGTGTTCTCTGTGCCACTCTAATTCTCACTAAATGAGGATGGTGATGACCTTGGTGAAGATCTCAGCAATAATGACCTTTTGTGATGTTCATACTCTTCCTGTGACTTAGTAGCATAGTCTTAGAGGGCTACCAGCTGGTTCATAGAGAAGGAAAGTAAGCTTCAGGAAACTTGAGAAACAGAACCAAGGGACCAATTAGAAGCAGCACATTGGCCTAACCAAGGACCATCCAGGTACCACCACAACTGTCTCTCCCTACACTGCTCACCATTTTCCTATAATTCCTGGTTTATGGACCTTATACCCTCCGTCTACTGTCAGTCACATCCTCAACAACTAAAAGTCCTGGGAGCGCAGGAAACACACAGAACAATCACTCTCCCTCTGTGAAGCTAAACTTAGAACAATTCAGAACCAGCAGAGCACAGAGCATGGTTTTCTTCAGCAACCTTACTCGGAACCATCTAGTGACTCACGGAGTCTGGACTCTGCCATCATCACCTTCCGTGCCTCAGTTTACTACAACTATGTGAGCTCCAATCTTCTCTGTGGAAACTGAGAATGTTATTAAGTAGGCTCTGTGTTTGTGGAGCGCTTCTCTGGGGACCCTAAAGCACTTTCCAGATTAAGTTTTTAATTTAGATATTAATAATTCTCACAGCATTTGCCCTCCCCAATTAGGATGATCACTCTCATTCTTTTGAGATAGACAGGAGTGCTGAATGGTGGGTGGGCAGTGAGAGCAGACGGTTAAATAACGAAGCTGAAATATAAAAGCATAATTAAATCTTTGAGATCAGCTCACCTAAGGAGTCTAAAGAGATTCTAGTACCAGTGGCCAAACAAGCAAGCTTGTCTTCCCTGCATTCTGGAACACTCATCTTTTTGTAACTAGATACAGCATTTAAAAATATTATTTCAGGGTCAGCGAGATGGCTCAGTGGGTAAAAACTTGCTGCCAAGCCTGACAACCTGAGTTCAATCCCTGGGGCCTACATGGTAGAAAGAGAAATAACAACTCCCACAAATTGTCCTCTGACTTACACACACACACACACACACACACACAAGAGAGAGACAGAGAAAGACAGAGAGAGACAGAGAGACAGAGACAGAATTTTTAAAAGTTTAAATATTCTTTGGGGCTTTTCTAAGCAAGTTGAAATAAGAAAAGTGTATCCCCAGTGAGAGCACTTCTGAACCTCCGCACTGTATCTTTATTCCCCCGAGGTGGACACAGCATCAGTCAGAAGTCACCTCCTAGGTTCCTCTTTCTATTTCGGTTTGTCCCCTAATAAGCTTTCTCTGGCTTTCAAAACTCAGATCTTTTGTTCCCAAGGATTGCCCACCTCAGCCTCAGAACATGATTTGTCAGGGAATGTGAGAAAGCACCAGCAGAAAACATTGACTGTTGCACAAATATTCTGTTTCCTTCGGTCTTTTCAAGAAAATAGCTTAAACCGATGCTTAGCAAAACAGGCTGGGTTACATGAATCCCCAAAGATAAACTTTGTAAAAAGACTTTCAAAACTCAAGTCTCAGGAATTGAATTCCACAGGGGTTAAACCTAGCTTTTGAGTAGTCAGCAGTCAGTGTGACCGCTGTCTGAAATTTCTCTCAGTATAGACATAG